AATGATTTTTATATCAAAGAAGACAAAAGTCACTGTTGCATTAGTGCATTTTTGATGTCAAATCCGATTCTTTATAAAACCTTATAGACAAATGTATTCAATCTTAATCAGTTCGACCACAAAGTAAGATTCTCACAAACCTTTTATAACCCTTTACAAATTTTTACTAAAGAGCAGATCATAAGCAGATTTTTGTTCTAAGAACATAGTGAAACTCAGTCTCTACTAAAAATACAAAAAAATTAGCTGGCCGTGGTGGCATGCGTCTATAGTTTCAGCTACTCAGGAGGCTGAGACACTAGAATCACTTGAACCCGGGAGGCAGACGTTACAGTAAGCCGAGATAATGTCACTGCACTCCAGCCTGGTGACACAGAGAGACTCAGTCTCCAAAAAAAAAAAATCTGTTGTGCTTTTATTCCAATGTTTAATTTACAGAAAAACTGAATACCCCTTTAACTTTAACCAATATGTTCACACATAGAATCTATTACAATTAATTTTCCACAATCTTTCACAACTCACTTAAACCTTCGGCATTATTCTAACTTAAAACAATCCTTTAACCCTTTAATCTAGGCAAGAAAATTATAAGAAGTCTCAGGACTTCTTATAATCTTTTACCCAAAATACATATTTCAGGCCAAGCGCGGTGGCTCACGCCTGTAATCCCAGTACTTTGGGAGGCTAAGTTGGGTTTAACACAAGGTCAGGAGTTCAAGACCAGCCTGGCCGACGGGGTGAAACCCTGTTTCTATTAAAAATATAAAAAATTAGCCAGGCATGGTGGCACATGCCTGACATCCCAGCTACTCTGGAGGCTGAGGTGGAAGAACCACTTGAAGCCAGGAAGTGGAGGATGCAGTTCAGCTGAGATCGAACCATTGCACTCCAGCCTGGGTGGACAGGTAAGACTTTGTCTTGAGAAAAAAACAAACAAGTCTTAAAAAAATTTCACTTTCCCTACACACCTTACATGTAGCACTGTTTCTTTCGTGTCCTAATTACATGTTACAATGACAACTTTTAGTAATTTTGACTTTTGGTGAAACCCATGGTTAGTAAGCACTTTCAATCATGTACTAGGTGTGGAACCTAGGACTGACACAGAAGTGCAGATAAGGTCTGACTTTTTCTAGCATTGCTGGGGATATGGCTAACATTACATAGCCCTAGGCCTTATCTAGAATATAATGTCTCTAAGGTAGGTAAATTGAACAGTTTTCAAAAGTCGAAGCAATTTATGACCTTAAAGCATTTAGCAAAGCTAATAATATCTGACCTGCATAATTTAGACCAACTGTTTACATTTTTGAAGATATTTTTATTTTACTAATAATCTTTAAAGCTGTATTTATTTCTGAAAGATTACTTAAGTCATATGAACTAAATAAAAGTCATTACACTTTTTACTTTTCTCACAAAATATTTGATGTAAGCACTTAATAATAATTATTATTTTTTCAGACAGAGTCTTGCTCTGTCACCCAGGCTGGAAAGCAATGGCTTGATCTGTGCTCACCACAACCTCCACTTCCTGGGTTGAAGTGATTCTCCTGCCTCAGCCTACTGAGTAGCTGAGATTATAAGTGGGCACCACCATGCCCGGCTAATTTTTTGTATTTTTAGTAGAGATGAGGTTTTATCATGTTGGCCAGGCTGGTCTCAAACTCCTGACCTCTTAATCCAGCCACCTCGGCCTCCCAAAGTGCTGGGATTGCAGGCATGAGCCATGGCGCCTGGTGCACTTAATTTTTTTGAAGCCAATGAATCAAAGCTCTTTTATATATAAACATGTAAATACATAGAAAGGGCTGGGCAAGGTGGCTCACACATGTAATCTCAGCATTTTGGGAGGCCAAGGCAGGTGGATAGCCTCAGGTCAGTATTTCGAGACCAGTCTGGCCAACATGGTGAAACCCATCTCTACCAAAAATACAAAAATGAGCTGGGCATGGTGGTGGATGCCTGTAATCCCAGCTCCTTAGGAGGGTGAGGCAAGAGAATTGCTTGAACCCAGGAGGCAGAGGTTGTAGTGAGCTAAAATTGCATCATTGCACTCCAGCCTGGGTAACAAGTACGAAAATCCATCTCAAAAAAAAAAAAAAAAAAAAAAAAAAAAAAATTCAGGGCAAGTCCGCAAAGTGAAAGCAAGTTTATTAGTAAAGGAATAAAATAATGGCTACTCCACAGACAGAGCAGTCCCAAGGGCTGCTGGTTGCCCATTTTTATGGTTATTGCTCATTGATATGCTAATCAAGGGGGAGAATTATTCGTGCATCCCCTTTCTAGACCACATAGGATAACTCCCTGACATTGCCATGGCATCTGTAAACTGTCATGGCACTGGTGGGAGTGTAGCAGCGACGATGACAAGAGGTCACTCTAGTCACCATCTTGGTTTTAGTGGGTTTTAGCCGGCTTCATTGCAACCCGTTTTAACAGCAAGGATTTTACATGTATTTGTGCCAGCCTCCTATCTCATTCTGTGACTTAGAATGCCTTAACCTTCTGAGAGTGCAGCCCAGTAGGTTGTAAGCCTCATTTTACCCAGCCCCTACTCTGATGGAATTGCTCTGGTTCATAAACCTCTGACGACTTGACTTATTTGTCTGCCTCTTTTATCATCTTTTACTTGTGCACACAGTTGCCTCTTCAATTTAAACCTTAATACAGTGGTTCGTAAAGTATGGTACAAGGACTGACACTCTGAGTCGGCTAGGTTAAAACCATTTTCATAATAATCCTAACGCAATATTTGCTCTTTCACTTTATTCTCTCATGAGTGTAATGTGGAGGAAAATATAGTTTTTTTCCCCATGAAAATGCATTACCACATAATGGTTTATTATTGATCTTTTAAATGAATTGATAACTATTTTTAAAACTTCAGTTTTTATTTATAACATGGTAAATATTGATAGATAAAATCCACATGAACAAAAGCTCTTTTGGGATCTTCAGTACTTTTTACGGGTATGAAGGGGTTTTTTTTTGAGACAAAGTTTCACTTTCTGTTGCCCAGGCTGGAGTACAATGGCACGATCTTGGCTCACCACAACCTCTACTACCCAGGTTCAAGCGAGTCTCCTGCCTCAGCCTCCTGAGTAGCTAAGATTACAGGCATGCCCCACCACGCCTGGCTAATTTTTTGTATTTTTTTAGTAGAGAAGGGGATTCTGCACGTTGGTCAGGCTGGTCTCAAACTACTGACCTCAGATGATCCGCCTGCATCGGCCTTGGAAAGAGCTGGGATTACAGGCATGAGCCACTGCACTGGCCAAGAGTTTTTGAGATAAAAAGAGTTTGAAAACCATTGCCCTTGTCTATCTGCCGGGTATAAGAACTCCTATTGACTACATTTGATATCACAGTATTAGACAATGAATTGGAGTTGGTCTTTTCTGAGTGATAACTTGTCTTGATTGCAAAAATCATCTACCTTAAGATAAACTACAGCTTTGGGCCAGAATATCATTTAGAAATGCAGCAAATGTTAATACAGGATTTTTGTTCTTCTTGGTGATGTGTAATGGAAATAAGCAAAATCCTAGCTAAAAGGAGAGGCATAAACACGGAAAGGATTTGGAACAGAGTGTAGCATAAGAGTAAGCCCTTAACATAGGCAGTGATTACTACCACTTCATTATGACCCTATTACAGTGCTATTCATTTATTTATTCAACAAGCATTTATTGAGTGCTATATGCCAGGCTCAATGGTCTGAACTGGGGACTTAATGATGGGTAAAACACAAACAATTCTGCCTTGAAAGACTTTATAGTCAAATGGGAGAGGCAGCAGAATCATGACATAAAAATTCTAATTATAAACTTTGGTAAGCAAGAGAAGTGACAGACGTGTAAGTAGACCAAGATTTGACCCAATTTTCAGTCAGTAAAAGCTCCTCTGAAGAAGTCTCAGTGGAGCTGCAATTTGAAAAATGGGCAGGAGGAATTAAAGAGACACAAAGGAAAGAGTAGCAGGTTGAGCATGTTTAAACACACTGTAGTAGAAAGAGAATGATGCAGGGGCCAATGTGGCTGAAACCCAAAGAGTCAGGGCCAGAGTGACAACCGTTTAACGGCAAAAACCGCAATTACTTTTACATCAACCTAATAGTAGCAGTAGTACTACTAGTAGTGGTAGGTTAGAGCCCAGGCCATTGGGGGATTTTTAAGGCTTTGCCAAGAATTTTAAACTTTTATCACATGATGAGTGGGGAGCCATGGAAAGCTTTAGGAAAAGTGTGACAACCTTAGATTTGTATTTTCAAAAGATCACTGGTAGCCAGAGTGTAGAGGGGAAGGCTGACAGACTATCTGCAACGCTATGGCAGTAACCAAGTGAACACGGTGGGAGCCTGGAACGGGGTCATGGCAGTAGAAACCCAAAGAAGTGAATCAATTCGGGATGTATATTTTGGAAGGCCACGGGGCTTGGTGTTTAATTGAAAGCTTTACTGGCACAAGAACCACACAAAGCCAAAGACCCTTTTCAGCAAGATCAGCCTAATGGGTTACTGGTAAGTTGAAAAGCTCCCCTATAGTCCCTTGGCAAAAATTCAAAAGCCCTGGTGATACTTAGGGCAGACAGTGTACTTCATTCCCTGGAGGTCAGCGGAATGGAAGTGCAACGTTTCCTGGGCAACGCCATTGTCGCAGCTCCCGTCAGGAGAACAGTAACTAAGAACAATGGCCGGAAGAGAACGCTGGAAAAAAGTAAGAGTGTCTGGGGGAGGGCAGGGAATGGGCAACACCTACCGCAGCTCCTGCCACCGCGGGTGAGCCATCGCGGCTGATCGGAGGACTCAGCACGAGGCCAGAGTAGAGAGAGAGAGAGAGAAGAGCCGGGAAAGCTGCTGTGATTGGCGGGCCGGGACTATCAGTCGCTTGTGATTGGGTGAAGCCGCGACTGAGAGCCGCGTTTTGAACCGCGTAGGGTTCTGGGTAGCAAAGGCCTTCGAAAGGTCTTACCGAAAGCGGGAGGAGAAGGGCGCCAACAAACGGCTGAGCTCACAGTCCGGGATGGGCCGGGCGTTCCCCTCCACCGTGGAGAGAGCCAGCCCAGAGCGGCCGCCTCAGCCGCGCCCTTTGTGTCCCGCTTCGTCGCCACCGCCGGTCGAGGCCACTTCCTTTTGGGCAGCGGCCGTGGAAACCCCTCTGTCGCCGGCTACGCCATACGCGGCCGCCATTGCGACTGTGGTTTCTGCGTGCGGGGAGGCCGCGTCGTTCGGTTTACAGCCAGCGGCGCGGGGGCTGCTGCAGGTGAACCCGGAGCAGGTGTTGCTGCTACCACAGCCCCAGGCTCGGGAGAAGTGCATCGCTACCTCGCCCGCGCAGGCGCGGCTGCTGCAGTTCAGGCCCGACCTGCTGCTCCTGCCGTCGCCGGCCGCGTCCGAGGGCGCCCCGTTCAGGCCCGACTTGCACCCGGTGCAGCCGCGGGTGCTGCATGTCACGGCTGAGAAGCAGGAGCTGGGGCCTGGCCTGGACCCGTCCGTGGGGCCTCAGGGGGCGGTGGAGACCGGCCCGAGAGCCTCCAGGGCAGTCAAGGTGAAAGGCCCCGGGCCCGCCCTCGACTACTTCCGAGGGAACGAGAAGGGCAAGCTGGAGGCGGAGGAGGTCATGCGGGACGCGATGCAAGGCGGGGAAGGCAAAAGCCCGGCGGCCACCCTAGAAGGAGGGATCAAAACCGAGGAACCCGAGAGACTCCTGGAGGACTGCAGGCTCCGCGCCGAGCCCGCGTCCAATGGCCTGGTTCACGGCAGCGCGGAGGTCATCCTGGCCCCGCCGTCCGGTGCCTTTGGGCCGCACCAGCAAGACCTCAGGATCCCTTTGACTCTCCACACCGTTTCCCCTGGGGCCCGGATCCAGTTTCAGGGAGCTCCGCCTTCAGAGCTGGTAAGATTGACCAAGGTCCCCCTGACACCAGTGCCTATTAAAATGCAGTCCCTACTGGAGCCTTCCGTAAAAATTGAAACTAAAGATGTCTCGCTCACCGTGTTGCCCTGTTGGAAATAGATGGTCTGTGCTGGAAAGAAAATTAACACGGAGACAAAATCTTTTAGCAATGCAGTTTTTATTTCTGGACTGCAGGAAGGGTACTCTTGCTAGCGATCTTGCCACAAGAGTACAATGAACAAAGGAAAACACACAAATGTATCCCTTAGGCACTTGGGGTCACACTTACTGCTGTGTCTGATCTTCGTTGGCTGGAGCCAGACCTCACAATTTAAAGCCCGATTAGCTAACAACTTAAAACTTTTCTAAACAAGTAAAAGCAATGGAGAGCTAGGATATGCCTGTTGAGCACGTCCAACACAGATATCTTGGTGAAAGTACACGGACATTGAAAGTACACGGACATAGAATGCACTATGTGCTTGTAAGCATGGCATGTTTAACAGCAATATAGGATAGTGCTTAACAAAGTTGTTAGCACACTTATTTTTTAATAAGAAAGGGAACTTTAAAAAGGAACTTTTCTTTTTTCTTTTTTTTTTTTTGAAGACAGAGTTTCACTCTTGTTACCCAAGCTGGAGTGCAATGGCACAGTCTCCCGCAACCTCCGCCTCCTGGGTTCAGGCAATTCTCCTGCCTCAGCCTCCTGAGTAGCTGGGATTACAGGCATGCACCACCATGCCCAGCTACTTTTTTGTATTTTTAGTAGAGACAGGGTTTCACCATGTTGACCAGGATGGTCTTGATCTCTTGACCTCGTGATCCACTCGCCTCAGCCTCCCAAAGTGCTGGGATTACAGGCTTGAGCCACCGCGCCCGGCCTAAAAAGGAACTTTTCTACTTCCCACATACCCTCAGATGCAGATATTAGACAGCAGGGGAGTCTGGTTTTCAAAACTGCACCTGTGTTGCCCCATAGCTAATATGTCAGCAGTTCCCAAGTCTAAACTACAAAGTAAAGTCATGGAACTGATTGTTTTCAGGGCAGAGTCAGTACAGGTATCACTTCTGATTGACTCGTACATATAGCAGTAAAATACACGAGCACCTTCAAGATTCTCTGTTTTTTTTTTTTTTTTTTTTAATCGATTTTAAGGCCTAGTATTTAGATAGGACTAATTTTTGTGCAGAAAAATAGAACTGTTCTTGGTAAGACAGTTTCCTGGTCCTCTGGCTAGAAATTGGGGCTTTTAGTCTCCCTGCTCTGTTACTGGTTTCCATGGCGTGGTGTACTCTTGGGCCAAGTGATAGGATGAAGAGAGAAAAAAGGCTAATGGAGATTCTCCTTCCATTTTTCAGATCACAGATCTTTGGTCAGATAAAAGCAGGTCTGTCAGAGTTTTAGGTGCTTTTCTGACTGCCACTGCTACTACCAAAAAAAATTTTTTTTTGAAACGGAGTTTCGCTCTGTTTCCAGACTAGAGTGCAGTGGCGCGATCTCGGCTCACTGCATCCTCGGCTCCCTTGTTCAAGCAATTCTCCTGCCTCAGTCTCCCAGATAGCTGGGATTACAAGCACACGCCACCATGCCCAGCTAATTTTTGTATTTTGAGTAGAGACATAGTTTCACTAAGTGTGCTAGGATGGTCTCGATCTCTTGACATTGTGTCCGCCCGCCTTGCCTCCCAAAGTGCTGGGATTACAGGCCTGAGCCACTGCACACAGCCAAAATAATATATATATTTTTTCTAGAGACAGCATCTCACTTTGTTGCCCAGGCTGATCTCAAACCCCTGGCCTCAAGTGATCCTCCTACTTCAGCCTCCCAAAGTGTTGGGATTACAGACGTGAGGAACCGCACCAGCCTTGTTAATATTTCTTTTTTAGAGTCTTCAGATGGCTGCTTCATGCATTGTGTTCACAGCTTTTAGTTGCAGCCAGTGGGAAAGACAGACTATGCTTACTCTGTGTTACTTAGAACTGGAACCCCAAGAAATTTATTTATTTATTTATTTATTTATTTAGAGACAGAATTTTGCTCTTTTTGCCCAGGCTGTAGTGCAGTGGTGTGATCTTGGCTCACTGCAACCTCCGCCTCCTGAGTTCAAGCGATTCTCCTGCCTCAGCCTCCCGAGTAGCTGGGATTATAGACGCTCGCCACCATGCCCGGCTAATTTTGTATTTTTAGTAGAGACAAGGTTTCACCATGTTGGCCAGGCTGGTCTGGAACTTCTGCCCTCAGGGGATCTGCCCGCCTTGACCTCCTAAAGTTCTCGGATTACAGGCAGGAGCCACCACCATCAACCAAAAAAACATTTTTTTTTTGAGATGGAGTTTCACTGTTGCCCAGGCTGGAGTGCAATAGTGCACTCTGGACTCACTGCATGCTCTGCCTCCCAGGCACAAGTGATTCTCCCACCTCAGCCTCCCAAGTAGCTGGGATTACAGGCATGCACCACCAAGCCCTGCTAATTTTTTTTTGTATTTAGTAGAGACAGGGTTTTGTCATGTTGGTCAGGCTGGTCTTGAACTCCTGACCTCAGGTGATCCACCCACCACAGCCTCCCAAAATGCTGGGATTACAGGCATGAGTCACCGTGCCTGACCCCAAATGTATTTTTTTTAATGAAAAAACAATTTTTTAAAGATAGTCTTACCCTGTCGTCCTAGCTAGAATGTTGTGGTGTGATCACTGCCCACTGCAGCCTCAACCTCCTAGGCTCAAGTGATCCTCCCATCTCTGCCTCCTGAGTAGGTGGAACTTAAAGGCACTAGCCACCATGCCCAGCTAATTATTATTTTTAATATATTTTAAAATTTTTTGCAGAGACAATGTCTCACCATGTTGCCTAGGCTGGTCTCAGATTTCTCAATGATCCACCTGCCTCAGCCTCCCAAAATGCTGGAATTATAGGGGTGACCCATCATGCTTGGACAGAAATTTATTTGACATGCTCATTTGTAGAAAAAGGAAAGCAAATATGGTCTAGCACAATATACCCATCCTCCTAACCAAGTCAACATCTTAGAATTGTGATATATTTCCTTCCTCTTGAGCATTTTTTTCATAGTTGAGAAAACAATTTTCATTCCTCCTTTTTAAAGTTTTAGTTACTTTTTATTTATATTTTTATATAAAATAGAGATGGGGTTTTGCTATGTTGGCCAGGCTCGTCTCCAGTTCCTGGGCTCAAATGGTCCTTCCACCTTGGCCTCCCAATGTGTTGGGATTACAGGCGTGAGCCACTGGGCCCAGCCATTGTTCCTTTTTTGTTTGTTTGTTTGTTTGTTTTCCGAGATGGAGTTTTACTCATTGCTCAGGCTAGAGTGCAATGGCATGATCTCGGCTCACCATAACCACTGCCTCCCTGGTTCAAGGGATTCTCCTGTCTCAGCCTCCCAAGTAGCTGGATTACAGGCATGTGCCACCACACCCAGCTAATTCTGTATTTTTGGTAGAGATGGGGTTTCAGTTACCATGTTGGTTAGGCTGGTCTCAAACTCCTGACCTCAGATAATCTACCTACTTCAGCCTCCCAAAGTGTTGAGATTACAGGCGTGAGCCACTGGGCCTGGCCATTGTTCCTTTTTAAATATTGAGAATTGGACATGATGCAACCAGGATTTCATATCCTAAGTGGGAGAGGCTAAGATTGAGGGCTTTTGAGAGGGTCCACGTCCTTTTCCTAAACAGTTCATTCTGGTCTTTTGGACTCAGAGTAGAGCAGCCTTTTACTCAGACAACCCAGGAAGAAGGTCATGTTGAGGTTTCAATGTGGTACTATAGTAGGGGAGAATGAAATGCCCCCATAGCCTAACAGCCTGGCTTGGAACAGGGATTCTAGGCCTGTGTTTGATTTCATGAACCTTTAACTTTTCCACTCCAAAAATGAGGAATCACTTTATTTCCAAAGTCAATTAAATTTAGTTTTAGAAGTTTCTGTGATATTTAAAATACTCTGTCAGATAAACAGGGACATGCTGTTGGCCCTGAGGATTTCTCAGAATGACCTCTGTTGAGATGGTGATCTCATTACAGTAAATAAATAAAAATGGGGGGGGGGGGAAGTTCTAAGAATCCATTACCCTCCACCTCTGGATTTCGGCCCGATATCACCTAGGAAGGAGCTTGGGATGAGTATTGAGAGGTGTGGATTCTCATCCTGACCACTGGGCTTTGACTACTCTGTAAAATGGGAATCACAATGCCCTCTGTGGATAAGAATGCATTCGACATACCTCTAATTACAGAAAGCAGAATTGACTGAAGGCTCCCAGCTTTGGCACTGTGAAATCCATCATCATGTTTTTGCTAAGACTAGATTTCCTTCAGGCCCCTTCTCACTAGTTCCTGGGTATAGAAGGGATACTAAAGCAGGGTCATTTCTGGAAGACATGCTGGTCTTGCCCTTGGCCAAACACTTACAATGACTTTTCCTGGAGAAAAAAAAAAATGTTTGCGGGTGGCTTCTTTTTTTCCTTTTTTGTGAGTGGTTTTTTGTTTTGTTTTGTTTTTGAGATAGGATCTCACTCTGTTACCCAGACTGGAGGGCAGTGGTGTAGTTAGAGCTCACTGCAGCCTCCCACCTCAGCCTCCCAAGTAGCTGGGACTACAAGCATGTGCCACCACACTTGGCCAATTCTTTTTAGCAACAAGAGTGAAGCTCTGTCTCAAAAAATTAAATTTAAAAAATAAAGTTTTGCATATAATTTATGAAGCTCATAAGGCCTGTGCTCTTAGAACATTTCTGGAAGGATACACAGAAATGGTTATTGCTGTAGCCCTGGAGAGGAGGAGGGGAGTTTTTCTTTATTAAATATCTTTTAACCTGAATTTTATAGATAGCACATGTATTATGATTTTAAACTTGTTAAAAATCAGTTATTTTAAATAAACTGCTGTTCTAACACTTTGGAGTGATCACAAACTCAAATGCCTTCAGGGGTCAGGGAGATTAAATGCACTTGGGTTTAGGGAGATGGCAGTGGTGGGAGCTGCAGCTGACTGCAGCTTGCATCCCACATCCAAAGTACTTAAATTCCATACCATAAGAAGCATGGTGTTTGATCAAATCAATGCCCTGCTATTGGCCCCAGGAGGACTATTAATTAGTGACCTC